AAACTGATCTACTACTGTCTATACCTGTTGGCCAATATAATATGATAAGTTATCTGGGGGGAGACAATCAGTGGATCTGAGTTTGCAAACACAAATTTTACAATTTTAGATTTTAGCACATAGGTACTCCTGTTATATGGCTTGTGTATCACACATATTTGGATTAAAATATGATTTTTGCATATTTTCAGATAACTTTGGTTTCATTGCCCCAGATGATATATGCCGCAATAGTTGGATAGTACATGTACACAGAAATATGTGAATGTATCACCAATACTCTATTTCAGCATCTGTGCCATTCTTTGTCACATATTTTATTCACTATTTATAGTTGTTGGCAGCCTAATATATTAGTATGACGTATTTACACTTTCAAACAATGACTACTAGGTTAGCCATCGCATTATATGTTTCACTGCTTGGACTACATTTTACCTATGCTACCAACAGTTCATTATCTTTGCCAACCGCGCATTTTCAGACACCTTTTGATTCTTGCACACTTTGTGTATCATCAAGCTTTCCATGTGACTGGTGTGTGGATACTCACCGATGTACTCAGGATACTGCCAAGGATTGTAGAAATGATGTCATCATTACTGGTGTAAATAGAAGTAGACCCAGTTATCGCAGTGGGCCCACTTTTTGCCCAACTATCAATGCTACTATGGATGGTTCGGGAGAAATTCTAGTTGCCGAAGGTACTAAGAAGACTGTACGTGTTCGAATTCATCTTATTGATACCTTTTTTTCACAGGCACATTTTCGCTGTCAGTTTAATATAGAAGGACGTATTATAACAACCCAAGCTGAGCTCATGAATGATATTCTATACTGCGAGCAGATAGAATTTGCATATTCTCAACATGTATTTAATATGACTGCGACATTTGCTGTTTTATGGGGTGGATCCAAGCCCCTTGATAATCCAGATAATATTCATGTGCTTATTACAAGTGTCGAGATATGGCAGATAACTGTGATATGTGTTTGGCTTTAGAAAAAAAGTTTGGCTGTGGCTGGTGTCAAAGTACAAATCGCTGTGAAATTAGTGAACATTGTGGGGATAAATTTGGTGATTGGCTGAAACCAAATGATACTTGTCCATATCTTTCAATTTTATCATTTTATCCCCAATTAGGACCATGGGAAGGCGGGACAAATATCACAATTGAAGGTATCAATCTTGGTAAATCATTCGTAGATATTTATGGTGGTATTACAGTGGCAGGTATTCCCTGTGAGCCTTATCAGCATTTGTATAAAATCTCCAGAGAGATTGTTTGTCGGGTTGATGGGCCAGGAATATCGCAGTTTCGTCATGGACCTGTATCAGTAAGAGTTGATAACTTCCGTGGTCTATCAAAAATAGATTATCAATTTGTAGATCCACAAATTCAGGATGTAATTCCCCAGTATGAATCTGGTGGAACTGTACTCTCAATTAAAGGTAAACATATGAATGCTGGTAGCCTTATTGAGGTATTCATAGATGATTTACCTTGTCTTATTATTAAGATAAATGTGTCTGAAATCCAATGTCGAACAAATGCCTCAATTCATCAACGTGAGGGCAGAGTCCAACTAAAATTTGACCAAGGCATTAGATTTTATGACAAATATTTGTTTAAGCATAAAGAAGATCCAAGTATCAAGAGCCTCAAGTCTGGTATAACCATTTGCAATAAATATCTGAAAGGCATTCCTGCTGGTGGTATCAAAATATCAATCACAGGGACAAATTTGCTTTCAATTCAGAATCCCAAATTTTATTTATATGATGAGAATAACACAAAACAATATTTTAGCGACTGTGAAGTTTATAGCGACTCATTGATGATATGTTCCTCCCCATATATTCCAGAAATTCAGAATTGGGCGCTTGACTCGGAAAAAGCCAAAGCAATTGGATTATGGCTTCTTAATGAATAACATATCCAGTGTACAAAATATGTCATACAGTAACAGCTACCCTAAATTTTTATTATATCCAAATCCTGTTTTTGATAAATTTGATCGTGTGCTCAGAGACTATAAAAGTGATTATTTAGTAATAAATGGCATCAACTTGGACAGAGCTTGTCAAGAATCTGATATTACAGTATATGTTGGTGAGAATCAATGTAATGTAACCTCATTATCGAGGTATCAATTAACATGTAAACTTCCAAATGAGCAACTATATCAGAGTGCTGACACCTCTACAGCTAGCCTCCAAGAGGTACTTGTTAAAATTGGCCAGCATTTTCAAGAAAGCATTGGGAGAATCAAATATTCAACCATTGGAGCTTATTCTACTCATATCAATGAAAGAACTGTGTAGAATTTTAGAAGCAACCATATCGTTTACTTAAAGCTCTTGAAGCACTTAGAGAGTTCCACAAATACAAGTGTGTATGGAAGTCAGTCAGATTATTTATTTACTTAATGAAGCATGTATCTATGTATCTGTTCTTTTAGTCAGTTGAGTAAGATTTATTTATTTTAATTTTTATTTCATCATTAATCGGTTTATTTCACATGCGCAACTGATAAAATTATTTGTTGTGTAAAATAGAAAATTGTTTGAAGAACATTTGTTATTTTTAATTGAACGTATAATACCATAACTTACTCTTTTCACTTTAAAAAGCTTTCAGGAGCGGCGAAACAATTCAAACTAAAGGAACTTGCGATTCACTATTGGAAGTCTTTTACGTAAACAAAAGTATGGAATTACATAATAGGTCTGTTTGCACGCTTTCAGTTTTGTCAGATTCTGAATATTCTGACAGAAGTTCATTCATAAAAGTAGTTACACATACGTTTTTATGAATGAACTTGGGTCAGAATTTTCAGAATCTGACAAAACTGAAAGCGTGCAAACACACCTATATAAACGCAACTTTAGATTAGTGAAAAATCCTGAAAAAATCTTGGAAAAATTCGTCCAAAAAAACTGTGTGATGGGTTGCGTTATGAGCTTCTTAAAGTGAACAGAGAATATCAATCCAACCGGTTGAAATTATGAATTTTGCCGTCTCAAAAATCTGATAGCCCCTGATAGTTCAAAACCACGCAATATTTGTTATATTGTTTGAAACACCTTTTGAAACCTACGTAGGTACTTCCTATAATACATATACTATGTGGTAAGCACGAGGTATTTATTTGACTAATTCAGATTTTCGGATTTCTTGGTTAGATGACTTTTGAGTCACTCTCTAGTTACAAGCAAACTATGATATTCTTGAAAAATTCACTGTGAAGCAAGCTATTTCGAAAATTTTGCTTCAACCTACCTGAAATTCAAGCTTGAAATTTGAGTATTGGCGAGGGCATATTTTGACGTGTAAAGTATATGTAGGTGGCTCTTCCGCCACCCATTGGTGAAGTAACACCACCTAGTACAGAATGTCACATTAAAATTTTAAAGA